TGCTTAGGCTGCTGCCCCCGCGACCCGGCCCCAGATAAAGCGGATGGATGGAGACGGAAACTTGACAGTATACCAAATGACTGAGGAAAAAAAACATAAGGAACTAAATGAAAATAACAGTCTAGCTACGTCTAACTACAGAACTAGAAGCTAGAGATATTAAATAACAGTCAAAATTAAGATATAAACAAACTAGGAGCGGAGAAGATTCCAAAACCCAAAAGGTCAAAGACCTAGAACCATGGCGGTCTCACCATTCCAAATAGGTCATGGTCTGGACTTTGGCTCGTTCATTCCAGTCATCCATGCAGAAATACTTAAAGTCACCAGTCATACTACAACAAATCGATGCCTACACATACACACACATACATGTGCACAGACTAGAACACAAGCACAAAAACTGCTCTGAGATGGACACCACCAAACAAACAAACAACACGGTGGTGAATTGTGATGGCCAGGCTGAAAGTGTTGGATTCGACAAGCTCCAGATAGAGAAATATCCTGAGTGCCTTCCAATCACATCACTAACTAACTCCACAGATAGTAACCAAATATATTACTGAACACAAGGTTGAAACTGATTTTAAATGTAAAAAAAACCAAAAAAAAACTACCTTGTAGTCTAATAGTAACTAACAGCTGCAGGCAGTGAACTGACCTCAGAGCATCCAGTTTACAGTTTGGACTCTTCAGTCCAGCACACAAAAGTTTCAGTCCTGAGCCATCCAGGATGTTTCCACTCAGGTCCAGCTGAATCAGACTGGAGGTGTTGGATTTCAGAGCTGAGGTCACACATTGAAAGTGAGACTCTGACAGTCCACACCGCCTTAACCTGTGATGACACAAACATTACAACAAAATAACCCAGCTGGACACTTCCTGTTGGACATTGTGCTCTGGACATCAGTGCTTCAGCCTATCTGACTGACATGAAACAGGAATCCTCAGTCTGTCGGTTTGCTCTAACCCCACGTCTAACTCCACAGACTCCTGAGGCCATCTCCATCAGAAAAACATTTTAACTGTGACTCAGGATATTTGACTGAGTTCAGCTCAGTGAACAGTTTGTGAACTTTTGGTTCTTTCTTTAATTTTATTGATGTTCTTTCTTGTGGTCCTGATGTTCTCGTCTTTGCCCCCCTCTGTCTTCTCTGTGATACCTTCAGTGTTCCCCTCTCACTCTTATCATGTTTCTGTTGAGCTTCACATCTCCCTGTTTATTTCTTTTCCTGTTTTACTTTGATAATCACTTTTCTCACGTGTCTTGTTTTGTGCTCTGTCCCTGTTTACAGTTGGACTTTGGCTCATTTTGGTCTGTTTGTGACAATTAAAAAAAACCTCATTTTCCTCAGTTTTTTCTTTTAGTCCTGCGTTTGGTCATCTCCACACCTCATCCAAACCAACCTCTGTCTGTGGAACGTCTGTGGAACATTTAGTGTCACAAATGAAATGAAGGACTCGACAGTCAGACCTGACCATAATTCACTATTAAAAGAATTCAATATTTAGAGATAAGGACAGATGATTGTGTGAAATTCAACATTGTCTTCTACCTTCTGAAAAACTTGTGAACACAAACCAATTCAACCAGGCTTTGTAATAAAATAAGAGGAGGACTGATTTAGAAACTGTTTTTCTATGACACAATTCAGGACCTGGGGTTGGCCTTTACACTCTAAAGCTTGTTAACAGCTTGACTTGTACTGCGTGTAACCGGGTCATAAATGACATATTGTTATAATTACACAAAATGTGTTCTAAACCCCAAACTGTTATTGGTACACTGACTTTTAGGACCTCCAAGCTTTGGAAGTCCTTGGAGGCCTTGGATTTACTTGGAAGTCTTTCTTTTTTCTTTTTTTTTTCTTTTTACCTTTCGTTGTCAGACACAACGCAGGAACACACATGTGCATAGAGACAGAGATCTGCACTTACCGAGCCTTTCTGCAGTTCCTCACAGCTGGAATTAATCTGCGTTGTCCTTCCACCGATGTGTTGTACTTCTTTAGGTCCAACTCATCCAGAACCTCCTCTGACATCTGCAGCATGAAGGCCAGAGCTGAGCACTGGATCTCAGAGAGTCTCTTTGATCTGTTCTCTGATTTGAGGAACTCTTGGATCTCCTTATGTACTGAGAGGTCGTTCATCTCCATCAGACAGTGGAAGATGTTGATGCTTCTGTCAGGAGAGATTTTATCACTGTTCATCTTCTTCAGGCTCTTAATGACTCTCTGGATGGTTTCTGGACTGCTCTCTGTCTGACCCAGCAGACCTCCTAAGAGTCTCTGGTTGGACTCCAGACAGAGGCCATGAAGGAAGCGAACAAACAGGTCCAGGTGGCCATTTTTACTCTGGAGGGATTTCTCCATGACTCTCTTGAGAAACAGACACTCGGATGAAACTTCATCATCATCATCATCATCATCATCATCATCATCAACATCAGATAAAGAATCAAATAGATAATCCTTACAGTCTTTCCCCACAAAGTTCTCCAGCACCTCTGTTTTATGTTCCCAGTCTTTTCCCAGGAACTCTTCCAGCACCTCTGTCTTTCTGTTGGTGAAACAGTGGAACATGTAGACTGCAGCCAGAAACTCCTGAATGCTCAGATGGACAAAGCAGTAGACCGTTTCTGAAAACATGTCATACTCATCAGCTTTAAAGATCTGTGTGAACACTCCTGAGTACACTGAGGCTGCTCTGATATCGATGCCACACTCTGTCAGGTCTGATTCATAGAAGATCAGGTTTCCTTTCTGCAGCTGATCAAAAGCCAGTTTTCCCAGAGACTCGATCATCTTCCTGCTCTCTGGACTCCAGTGTGGATCTGTGGCTTTATCACACTTGATGTTCTTTGTTTTTAGGTGAAATAGCACAAGGCGTATGTAGAGCTCTGTGAGAGTCTTAGGCAGATCTTCGCTCTCTTTGTTCTTCATGACAAACTCCAGAACTGTAGCAGTGATCCAGCAGAAGACTGGGATGTGGCACATGATGTGGAGGCTTCGTGATGTCTTGATGTGGGAGATGATGCTGCTGGCCTGCTCCTCATCTCTGAATCTCTTCCTGAAGTACTCCTCCTTCTGTGGGTCAGTGAACCCTCTGACCTCTGTCACCATGCCAACACAGTCAGGAGGGATCTGATTGGCTGCTGCAGGTCGTGTGGTTATCCAGAGGCGAGCAGAGGGAAGCAGTTTCCCTCTGATGAGGTTTATCAGCAGCACATCCACTGAGGTGGACTTTCTAAGGTCAGTCAGGATTGTAGTTTTGTTGAAGTTGAGAGGAGGTCGACACTCATCCAGACCATCAAAGATGAACACGACCTGGAAGTCTTCAAAGCTGTAGATTCCTGCTTCTTTGGTTTCAGTAAAGAAGTGATGAACAAGTTCCACCAAGCTGAACTTTTCCTCTTTCAGCAGATTCAGCTCTCTGAAAGTGAATGGAAATATGAACTGGATGTCCTGGTTGGCTTTGTCTTCAGCCCAGTCCAGAGTGAACTTCTGTGTTAGGACTGTTTTCCCAATGCCAGCCACTCCCATTGTCAGAACTGTTCTTACTGGTGCTTTTCTTCCAGGTGGGAGTTTAAAGATGTCTTCTTGTCTGATTGTTGTTTCTGTCTGTCTGTCTGGTTTCCTGGATGCTGTTTCAATCTGTCTGACCTCGTGTTCATCATTGACCTCTGCAGTCTCTCCCTCTGTGATGTAGAGCTCTGTGTAGATGTCATTCAAAAGGGTTGGGTTTCCTGCTTTAGGGATCCCCTCAAACACACACTGGAACTTCTGTTTCAGGTTTGACTTGAGTTTGAGGTGACAGGCCTGAAGAGTCTCTGGATGAAACAAAAACTGTCAATAAGATCATTGCCTGTAGAGTGGTCTGCACAGTATGACGAAAAAGTTGTTCAACTGCATCTATATGCGAATGTGACTTAAACCCAAGTCTACGGTTATGAAGTTATGACTTTGAGCTGAACTGATTTATTATAACTCATAAACAAATCACTGTGACACACTTATCCCTGGAGTCATTCAAACAAAACTCAGTGTAGGTTAGAAGTTCATGAACCAACAAAAACGTCAGTCAACAGTTCAAAAGCTGGAGTCCAGACAACAAAGCCAGATAACTGCATTGGTTAGAGCTGCAGTGAATTATCAAACAAAGAAATATGGTCAAACATTTTGAGTTTTTTAGTTTTAGGGTCTTTTAATGCATTTACTATTTTCTTAGCATAGAGATTACACTTTACACTTGGTAGAAGCTATTAAATAAGGGAATCAGGATGATTGTTCCTTTACACATCAGCACAGGACAAGCGAGGACCCCAGGCCTTCCCTTTATTATTAGCAGAGACACAGGAACCAAGGCAAGGTTGGCAGTCTGGCCAACAAACAGCTCGAGTTGAACAGCCCCAAACCAGGATTGCTTATTCTTTTAAGACCTTGTCATTCACTCATACCAGATACAGCTATCATGTTAGCAATTAGAAAGAGAGACTAGTAAAAGCTGAGGAAGGGGGTCGTTCAGCACATGTTCAGCACATGTTAAACAAACCGTCACGACACTGTGACGGTTTGTTTAGGTCTTCAAGGTCTGATGGAGTAAATCCTTCCTCTCGGGGTGAGTCAGGTCTCTCTCCTGACAATGAATTTTTTACCATTAACAAATTAGTTATGTCACAAACCACACAAAGTAAACTCTCTAACAATCCATCCACCATCTTCCATTTATCTGGGGCCGGGTCGTGGGGGGAGCAGTCTAAGCAGAGAAGCCCAGACCTCCCTCTCCCCTCCTCCAGCTTGTCTAGGGGGAACACCAAGGCATTGAAAGAGCGATTCACAACACCTCTATGAAAAGAACATCGAGGGAACAGTTCACCCTGCTCGGGATAGGGTTACGCCCCCCCCACCAGAGCCAGTCACTGAGAGGGTGCCTGAGGGCGAGCGTCTGGTGGCCAGGCCTTAGTCTCAGGAGGATGGGCCCCCCCAAAAAAGGGAGATGGGCCCATCCTCCTGAGAGCTAACCACCTGCAGGAGCCACCATAGGGGTCAGGTGCAATGTGTGTTGGGCAGGGTCCAGGAGCGGAGACCCTGGCGGACTGACTCCCGATTACCAAAATTAGTAAGTAAGTAAGTAAGTAAGTAAACTTTATTTATTAAGCGCTTTTCGCAGACAGACAATCACAAAGCGCTGTACACAAATATTAAAATAAACA